GAGTCGAAATCTCGCCACGAGCCGTAGGTATTCCATCGTTCTCCTGATGGGCAGAATTGTCAAAAATCGATACTGTCAGGCAACACTGTCTTCGCGTAGTAAATACACAAACCCAACTTGATGGTAATGGGGAACAAAATTTATTTGTGGGTATTGCCGTTAGATGTCATATTATTAAGCTGTTCCAATTATCGATTAAGTGTTTTTGTTAGTGTCCGATTGATTATATCAGCGCTTCGATCGATTCGGAGTCGGTCCCAAAGGAGTCTCCCCCCTTAATACATGTAGCATAAAACTTATCAAATGTTTGGGGTATCCGCCCCCTGTGATAATATTTACATATTGAACAGATACCAGCTATCGGGTGTAGTTTTAAAATAGCCGCTTTAATTTCTTATATCAGGGACGTCTTTGTCAAGTCTCTTTTGGCTGATAACAATTGTATATTGAAGGTTGTAGAAATCATTATAAAAACAATGAAAATGATGAGAATAGTTACTTCGAAGGAAAGGAATTAACCATAGTTCATTCTTTATTCTCAGGTTTTGAGAAGTTTTCAAGACAATAATCGTGTAGAACAACCCAGACGATAATCGAGAGGAGTCTGTATGTACCCGGCTGTGGCTACCGGTCGCAGGCGACTACAATGTCAAGCTGCGATTAGGTAATAGAGACAGAACAGTCGCGCACGACTTCATAGTTTATGGTTTTATAGATTGCAATACCCACGTGCCAAGGAGTCGCGTACGACCGAATACCAGTTTGCTGAAACTTTTCCAGAAAATGATTTACGAAACGTCCGCAACATGAATTCTTTTCATATTCAATATGTTCTTATGTAGTATACGCAATACCAGTAGAAAAAGTTATAGTGTCTAACAGTAATTTTGACTTCATTTTTATAAAAAAAAATTTGATGGATAATTTCACAAAGAAGACAAGCAAGTTTCATTCTTCAAGTTAATAATGTGGAATTAGTTGTAAATTTTGATATTTTATATTCAACGTGATACTACTTGAACAACTATTTTATAATAATTTCATTTACGCGATATGTAGGGTTGTTTGGAAGGTGCAATAACAATGCAATAGCCACTTCTGTATCATACAGTAATTTTTTTTTCCCGACATGCACTGGTTCAATTTATTTTTTGCGCATTATTGAAACATGTTTTTTGTTGTAATATTTTTTAATGTTGTATAGCGCAGTAAACAAATAAACAAGAAAGTGTAGTTCAACAAATGCATCAGTGACTTACCTCGTCTTTGGAATAATTGTCACACATGCCAGTCACACCTTCCTCGTTGAAAAGTACCCAGTAATTGAAAGATACCACAAGCCGTGCAAATGTTATCGCATTCGACGTATTCTATATTGTTATCAGCTCTTGATATAGAGTGGCATGGATTTGTACATTATATGTGTCGCACTTTTTTGATTAACATTAATACAGTGAGCGGATGCAAGTATCATTAGGAGCACCTAATTGATTTTCTATACCCTAATATTTGTTTAAATGAAGAAAAAAGCACAGAAAAGTTTCAGTTTTGTTCAAATTTGTTTTCTTCACTTTCACATTATACCATCATCGGAAGTGCTTCAAAACGAAGGGTGAGAACGTTGCGACGCATCGTTGCTCGGGCAATTACTGAACTGTTTAATGTTGATCCACTGTGTTTCTGTACACTTGATATCACAAGAAAATGTTACGCAATTGAATTTCAGTTTTTAATGAACATAAGGGTCGTGATACGTTTGCCACTTCGCTCGTGAACTTAATTATTTTCTTCGTGGGACAAGCATGCGATCGCTGTGCCTGGAAGACTGTTTTCTTCAGAGTTTGGCGGTTCGCCTGTCCAGAAACGTCAGGTCGCTATTATACGAGAGTTTTCTTAAACTCTTGTCTCACAAGAGTTATGAGACTTTTGCTTTCGAAATGGGCTGTGCGCTTTCGTCATACGAAATCAATATTTTGTCGGTTGGAATTGTGGTTTTAGGCTCTTCATACAAAATACACCTTTTTAGCTCAGCCTCTGCGGAAGTTACATGGAACAAGAAACTATTCACAAAAATGATTTTTCATCTAAAATGAGACTGAAGCTTTTTCGAGTTCAGCGGTGTTCTATTAAACAGCAGAACCAGTCAGTTGGGGTTTTCCAGTTTGGAACACATTGGCGAATTAAATGCATTGATTCTACGGCCTTTAATGTCAGGAAGGCTGTAATTCAGTGCAGTGTAATGCAGCGGGGCTATCCATTCGATGCATTTCAGCGCAGAAGTAATTTGAAAAGTATTTTTTCAACAACCACCGTAAGGCTTGTTCCTTGAATTTGACAGCCCATTCTGTATATGTGCTCAAAACAGGTCAGGTTTGATGCACTCTTGCGTCATTGGTGCCGTTATTGGGCTACAACGTAACACAAGACCAAAGGATTTCTACTTATCTATAATCACTTAATAATACCAGTTCGTTGCAGGCTTTTTCAACACTATTTTTCCAAAAAACTTAAACTTTCCATTCAGGTTAAACGACAGTCTCTGCAGACGGCCAACAGGCAAGTAGGACCGGCAGGTCCGAAAACTTTAAACAACCTTCACTGTCATCGCCAGCCACATTGTTACGGTTATTCACTTTGCAACGTTTCCCGCTGGTTTGGCACTGACGCAATCACGAGTAGTTTATCTCGCGACATCTTCGGACAGTGGTCCAAGTAACGACGCGGCGAATTTAATTTCCTCCGGTGATGGGACACTCGCGAACCATCCAGGCGTATTCAGATCAGTTTGAACGTCAAGTCGAGGATCGAAAAGTCCGCCCGCGGACAAAAGCAAAATTCTAGCTGGCTGTTCAACCTTCTCTTCCTCATGTTTCCCGTGTAGCCACGTGGGTACCGGACATTTCCGATCTCCGGAAGACGTTCGAGGCGTTGCCGCAGCTGGGATTTAAGTGAAATGCATACATAGCTGTTGGCAGTGTGGAAACGAGAGGAGAGACGTGGATCTGGTCGATAGGCGTGCGCTCGCGCACCTCCACGACGTGTCGAGGGAGTGAAGTGCAATTGGCGGTTTCCTCTCGACATGGTCCAGAAGTTCAATCAAGGGAATTCAGATGCCAAGTATTATTTCACAGGCATAAATTATCGCTGATCAATAACGAACGACATTACGGTGAAACAATGTTATTTCGTTATTTTAATCGATAGAATAGTTGATTACAGTTTACAGTTCGCAATTTGCATCTTATTTTTATTTTCTATTCCTAGATAGCACATGGCGTCCAATGACGTCTTGAAGACGGTTTAAAGACGCCTTCAAACCTAAAACAGCCGTAAAATAGGCGTCTTTAAGGCGTCGTGTGCTGTATGGGCTTCCATTGACAAATTTTCACCCATTTCTCAGACAATTTTCGTATCTCAGTTATGTAAAATTCCTATCTTTTTGGTTAAGACTTAAACGTGCTTTTCAACGACTTTTCGCTTTACGAACTGTTTTTCCCGACACTGAACGTTTCAGCGAGTCGAATGAATGATCATCTGACAGGGCAATGTCTAGTAAATAGGATAACGTTTCGAAATTTTCCAATCGTACTAGTGCCCAAATAGCAGATAACGCCTCGAAGCCGCCCATTTGACGGTTATTTTGGGTCTAAAGCGACTTTAAGTCGTCTTCAAGGCGTCATGCGCTATCTTGGTGTAGATTCCTTCATACGTTTCATACAACCTGGTGAAAACGCGCTGTGTAATCCTAAGTACATACGGAACGACAAATAACATGCACGGAACATATATTCGTAGCGTGCCTTGACGACAATGCATGTTTATCAAATCAATCAAGCTTTTATTGCGCCACTAAGAAAGATACGGCTTTCGTAATGCAATCAGCTTTCCGAACGACACAATAAAATAGTTTTTAATTTCATAAAATACGTTTTCAATAATTAATTTTAATAATCACCGTTTTGCAATCTTGTCCTATCGGTCGGTATTGTTTTGTTGTTAAATAGGATGATCAATATTTTATTTTGTAATTAACAAGATAATTAAAAGTTTAAGAAGGGCGTTAAATACGAAGCGTACTCGAAAAGTAAAAACTTATTGGCCGTTATTAATGTACATATAATAAAAGAACTCAGTTCAATTAATCGAGAACCATAGCTAGGATATTTTGCACATTTTTAAACTTGCCTCGTGTGGTTATATGTACCACTTGTTTCTTCATTTACAGCAGTATCTACATAGCAGGTGGAAGAAGATAAATCACCTTAAGAATGATCTAATTCCTATTTATTAAACAAAGCAAATTAAATTCTTTATATACATTTTTTTAGACTGTCTTTGTTGACATACACGTGTGAATAATGCTATAAATTATGCCAAGGAGTTGTCTTATCTCTAAAACCAGTTTCGGGTGAAAAGCTACATCCAACAAAATTTTGATAACTTCCAGTCCAGTATTCGGTAGTAACTTTCATTTGCGATAAGGCGCAACTTGTTACGTTGTCCACGCCTAGTTAGGCGTGGGATCTTTTCTGCTATACATATTGTAGAAGTGCATTTCTGTTTTCTATACATATATACAGATCTGTCTAATCTCACTTACTAGTATGACATTTTTTAAAAATTAGTTTCTTTTATTTTTATGCCAATATGTTTGAATTTTATTAAAATATAATTACATAAATAAATAATGCTCACCTTTTTGAGTCTCTTCCATACTAGAAATTTCCTTTTATTTTAAAATAAACACTACAAAAAAAGAATTTAATTTTAATCGAGGTAAAACAGGGACATTAAGGATAAAATCTCACAATGTTAACAATGTTATCAGTCAGGGGGGGTAAAAATATTAACACATCGACTGCCACAATGAAAAAGGCTGTACGTAGCCAGACACACATTATTTTGTTTTTAAAGTCATAAATCGTTGAAAATGTATGCGTTTTGTTAATAGAGGCTGTTGGTCGTATTTCAAATTATACTGCAATATTAAATATTACGCAAAAATTTTGTAACTCTGGGAAGGGAGGAGGGGGGGGGGCAAAATCCAATTTCTTTTGTAGGGTGGGGTAAAAGCCACTTTTTTGTCCAGGGGGAGGGGGCAAGTGCGAATACGTGTGAATGAGAAAACGTGTGACCGAGGGGCGTTCCCTATGATCAATTAACGAGTCGACAATTATCGAGCGTCTACTTTACAGTAAACATTCGATTCCCGCACAAGTCAGGGCTGTAGGGGGCTAAATCTTCAGAAATCGTGAAGGAATCGGTGACCAGGAATCCAACCAATTTACGAGATGGCGTTGCGCTGAATTTAATGACAGAATCGCGCGTCAGGTGGTGTTGACAGATGTCATATTTGAATTTGACTAGGTATAGAATAGACCTATCATCCAATGCTTTTCTCTGTCCTACGTTTATAGGGCTACGTAGCCCTGTTATCATTTTAGTGTCAATACCCGACGTTACCGATAAAGCATGAATTCTGAGTATTATTAGCACAAATGAAGTGTTATATATTCCATTCATATTCCGAGTATCTATATGATTTGACGGGAATAAAAATATCCGATGCTTCAGTTTAAGGTTAAGGGATAAATATGACAGTCATGAAACATGAAACGGAAGAGTATATATTTTTTCACTTAACTACAAGGCAACTTAT